GGAACTCACAAAGCCACATTCTTTGAGGATTTCCTACAGTCCCCCCCCTCAACAGCCATAATTCTCCCTCAAGGTGGAGGTCAGAGAGTGCAGACTAAAAAAAGTGCTTCTTGTTAAAGCTTTAAAATTCACCCCCTGCCAACATGAAGTGTTCCTGAAAGCTGCAAATCCGAACAGCCCTGAACAACAGCAGAGCTACGGTCCCAAAAAGAACTCCCCCATTTCTGTATCCACCACAGAAGAAGCCTGTCGTGCCTTCTGGGTGAGGGACCAGCACCAGCCTCCCTCCTCTGCAAACACACTGGAACTTGGATCCCACCCACAGCAACACACAGCATCTTTTTAATATGTCTATGTAGCATCTTTTTAATGTGTCTATGTCGTTCATAAAGTGCCGTCTAATTTCCAATCCTGCCTCTGACTGACAGCAATTGATTGAGAATTTTTTTTTTAACCACAAGCAAAGCCTGAATGAAGTAGGTGGCAGGGAAGCGCTTGATGTTCAGGAAAGTTCCAGGGTATCAGATGGCTTCAAAGCAGTTTATGCGAAGAAAAACAGGGCAAGAGGTCCCACCAAAAAAAAGTCAGAGCACACAGAGTAAATAATTTCAAAGACTGTGTAAACAGGGGAATAATTTAATCCCTGAAAACAGTGATTACAACTTCCCCGTCTGCCTGATAACCTAAGAATTAATTGGCCTGTAAGACTCTTATTTAGAAAACCAGTACAGAGAAGCAGGAAAAAAAAAAAAAAAGGCAACTATTTTTACCATTTCTTCTTTCAGTGAAGATTTGGTGCCTATACTGTATCCCCAGTGTTTCAGCAGCAGAGAATTAATTGATGCAGGATAGCAATCCTTAGTACTGTGCAAGAGAGACCAACATCAAAATACAATTTTTTGATTATTAGAAAATTATTCTGAGCATTCAGGAAACTTAATTTGCTCTAATGCTATTTACTCTCCCTGTATTGCCCTAAACATTTTTTTTTTCCTGCCAGTAATCTGTATCAACTTCAGCAGAGATAAACAGAAACAAGTCTCAAGTATCCTCTTAACCAGACAGAGCATTGTATTTATAAGACGCATCCAACACAAAAGCTTCCCCCATCATGACTGACCACACAAACAGCCAGAGAGCAGTTCAAGTGTTCTACAGTAGGCACAGCTACATAAACAAGTGCTGAGGCAAAAGCAGTGCACTGTTTTGGGAATGAGAGATAATAAAGACAAACACAAACTTTGGTAACCTAAAAGGCAGACGGAGCAGGTGACCTGAGAGAGCCCAACTGTGTACAAAACAGCTGATAGGGTATTTGAAACCTCATACTGAATATAAAAGGTTTTTGAAAACGGGCACAGGAGGCAAATGTCAGGGGCTGTGTGACTTCTCTGAACAATCCCGTGGACGACCAAATTTGTTCCCGAGGCTTTTCTTCCTGCCTTGACGGCTGTGCGTATCCTCACCCACCAGCTGGGCTGCTGGTGGATTATGAACCTCGGCAATCACGCTGACTGGCATTTCATTACATCCCCTCATCTCATTTTTGGTTGTACCCATCAGTTTTTGTTTTTGATACAAGATGATAACACGTTCAGATGAGATACCAGTGCTCCCTCAGGAGTTAGCAGAGAGCTGCTCACATCCATGCCTGGACACCTTGGATGGGAACACTGCTCAAATTGCTATCAGCTACACCACATAATTGCCTTTTTGTCATTCACACGAGGACATTGTTCTCTGTCCCCCTCCATAAAGCTGCATCTCACAATTCACACAGTATTTCAAGGCCACCGCCTCCCCTCCTCAGTGTGTAAAAAAAAATACATACACATATGTTTAAGTGAATTTTGGTCTACTTTGAAACCTATTCCTGTTCTCCCCAGTCCACTTTGAACTGAAATACAACCTCTACGGCATCCATCATTTCTCTGTAGGCAACTAACAATAAGCAATAGTGAAACAAGTGACTGCTGCAAGTATATCTGAGGCTTATTATTCAAGACCATTTCCTCATTGAGCTGGTTTTCCAACATGCTTCTCCCTTTGACTATTTGTGAACTGGGTTATTTTTCCCCACCATATGCTACTTCATCATTTCCCATGCTGAGTTCCACTGTAGCTGTCAGCTCCAGCTCTGACCTCTCTTCCACTGCAACAAAGGCAGAAACTCCCTTCTGGTGCCGGAGCTGATGCTGGATGAGGTTATATTTGCAGTCTCTAATCAATTGTCATCATATATCTCTGTCCTTTTTCTAGTGTTTGCAACACTGCCTAATGTAGTATCATTTGTAAATGTAATTAATGAGCTGTTTATGTACTCTTCAAAAATCATTAAGATGTTAAATTAAACTGTGTTTAGTGGTGGACCCTGAGTCACCCTGCGCACTTCGGTCCAACTCGATACGTTCCCATTCATCGTCACTCTCCATCCATAATGCCTCCAGCAATTCCAGCTCCTATGAATACAACTCATGTTCAAAACAGTTTGAATTGTGGTGGTTTGTTTTTTTTTTTCTCTTTTTGCATTAATTTGTGACTTGCTGTCCTTTCTGTTCTGAAGGTAACACATCTGTGTTGCTGCAATCCTTTAATGTCTTCCTGCTCCCTTCTTACAACTGCTAATGCTCCAGTGCTGTTTTAGTTAGTTCTTTCAGTGTACTACAACTTCCTATCACCAATACTTTTTTATTTATATATCATAAGTATTCTGTTTTACTCATTATATACTTTAAAACTCCTCATTTTTTTTTCACATACTTATCTCATCTTCTTGTTAAAGAGGTAACCAAAATACACTGTCCACCAGCACAGCTGATTTTCTCTTCCTTATTTTACGCAGGTAAACCTTCCCTGTTTTCCACAATTTTTGTCTGTCTTTTCCCTGCTGCAAATACATCTGTTGCCATAATCCAACCTACACTTGGATGTTCTCTGTTTGAGAAAATTTGAGTCCTCCTGCTCTCTGCAAGTTTCTGAAGTCTACAGATATTTTTATATAATTTTCATTCCTTTCCCTCTATGCCCACTCTACTGGATCTTGTGAAACCCACTGTATTCTTTTCCTTCACACTCACAGTAATCTACTGCTCCCTAATTGAATGAATTATACATTTTACTTTGCTCCAGGCCTGATTTGTTCACTAGGACAGACACTCGAGGAGCCTTCACCTCCCAAGTCATCACTGAAATCACTGGACTTAGGGCTTTTCAGAGCGGTCCATGATCTGTCATGTGGACTTTAAAATCCATATTGCTTGCTATGCTTCTTAATAGTGGTATGAATGAATGGCTCTTGGCTCCTGCTCAGCTTGTGCAGCTGTGTTCTGCAAGTCTGGGTGGTGAGTATTTTTTATCTCCAGCAGGTGCAGAGTCAACAGCTCTGAACCAGCAAGGAAATAACCCATGGATGATTTCTCTTGTGGTCATCTTATTAAAATATCAGGTCAGCTTTCACGACACACATTAGTATGGCCACCCTTTATTATTCCACGTTAAATGCCAAGCTACCACCTAAGAATGTCCTAAAAATGACAGAATCCCTATGGATACCAACATTATCAGCATTTGAGCAACGCTCATCATAGTTTCTCCTTTGTTATTTCAATATTCTTTTTTATACTCTTTCATATTTATTATTTTATTTCCCCCTCATCATCTGAGGCACTTTACTCTCATTAACCTGAATGCTCCAGAAGAAGCTCCTGCCCAGAGCAGGCAGGAACAAGGACGGATGTAGGAGCAACAGCACAGTGATCTTACAGGCTCCAATCAGAACCATAGCAAGGTAGGAACATCCTCATATGTGTAAACAATCCCAGAGAGGAGTTCAAAACACGCCCCACCAAACCAAGGCTGTTTTCAGTTCTAACATTCGGGTGGCATTAAACAAACAAACCAACCCACCCCAAAAAAATAAACCCCACAGTGGTTTGAATAATGGCAAAAAGAGGGCTCACTGGACACCCTTTTGAGAAGCAGAGAGAGGATTTCATTAGCAGAAAAAAGTGTGAAGGGCACAGTTTACACCAACGATAAAAAAATCAGAAATATTCATCAGGTCTGATGTTGAAGGGCACATCTAACTTGGGTTCAAACCCCCACCCCTCTACTCAAAAAGCTTTATTTTCCATTTGTAACTTTTCAGTGTTAATAGCTTTCCCTTGAGGAATATTTCCCCCTGATGCAACACCACTGGACCAACCCAAGATTGGCTTTTTAAGATTGTGTGTGCATGTATTTAACACATAAAGGTGTTATCACACAACCAGCCAAAATGACCCAGAAAGTGTTAAGTGAGACCCAGGTGACAAATTCCTTCTCCAATCTACAGGGAACTAACCTATGGATATCTAAAGACTTCAGCTGCAATGGTTTGAGATACAGAATCAAAGCTTCAGAGCTGGAGAGGGAAAAGCTCCTTTTCTCTGTGGACTTCAAAAATCTGGCCTTTTGAGGTACAAAACTGTAGCATGTATTTCAAGCAATCAAAGAACCCTCAGAGTTCAATGAAACATCACAAAACTGGCTACTTTATGATTGATTTTTAGCAAGGGTGCCATAAACAGCATCACTTGACCAATACCTTTATTTTTAGGAAGAAACATTAATGGGCAGAACAAGCAACAGAGAAAACTTCCCAGTTGTTTAGGAAGTAATACTGCATGCAGTTATCCTCCTGACCAGTGGCTTCCTAGGTCTTTCTTAGCAAATCATATAGTATAAGACCGAGCCATGGGACAAGTTCCCTCCTTTCCTTTATGACAGAGCTGCTTGTACTTCTACTACCAGGCACCCTTTCCCTAACTCCTACAATAAGTGTATCCCTTTTCTTTAGCAACTATTTTGGCCAAATCATGTTTAATTTCTTGCTTTTTCACATCACAAACAGCAAGAAACGCTTCTGGAAGCTTACAACTATAATTATTCCACATCAAGGAAACAAGGATTCCAAATCAGAAGAAGAAAAAACGCGATTCTCCCGCAAATACTTACAATTGATCTGATGTTGTTTTCTTTTGCCAGTTTAAGAGAGGATTTATAGCAGCTTGCTAAGTTTTCTTTATGAGTGTCGGTGAGGTGGCCTCTTGCGATCGGCCCAACAGTGTGGATCACATCTGCAGGAAATAAAAGATGAAGAAACATTAGAGATCCTGCTACATCACACATCAATCCAACCTGGTCTTGTACCCATACACAACAATGCGAGAAAATGTTTATAACTGGAAATCAGATAGTAAGCTACACGTGTAATAATTAAAAATGAGAACAGTAAAGGCTAAATCTTGAAGTATTTGGATTAAAGACAAAAATGAGAAAGGTGCACTAAACCCTTGCTACATGTCCACTGCGATGCACGCGCAGGAGAGATGAAATGTTTTCACAAACCCTCTCGATCTTTAGGCCTCTACCACTGTAAACGCTATAAACTTTGAAACAGTTGTTCTCACTCCTCAAAGTCCGCTCACAGGGGAACTTCACCACACAAAACCTCAGCTCCTCAATGGCAAAACACGGGTCGTGTTTGTTTTTTCTCAGCAGCCATTTTTTTAAGGGAAGAAAAGTTGTGACCTACGAATTTGGTAAGTGATTTCCTCTCACGCCAGACCAGATGGAGAGACGCCATGCCATAAAACAAAATATTCTGTTTGAAGAAATTTCTAATGATCAAAGACGGGAAAGCACAGTCCAGGAATACCTGAGGTATTTGGACTCATCAAAATCAGACACCATAATCAATCAAAGTCTCTAAAGTGTTATAAGAAAAATGAATTTAGAAGCCTGGAGTTTAAAAAAAGCCTTGAAAAGAAATCTACAAACTAAAAGGTATCGTGATTTTACTACCAGGAAGCACATTTACTTTTTAAATGTCATTCTTCTATACTGTATGTGAACACAATAAAATGAGTTATGGTGGAATGCTTTTTTTTTTTTTTTTTTACCTTTCCTTATCATCCCTACAACAGTGGCACCATTTTTTAGCAACATTACACAAACAGGGACTAGGCCAGTGCTTTCAATTGCAGTACCACTGTTCCCATTGGTTTGATTGAATTCCTATCCATATGGGACAGGTCTCCAAGCAACATCTGCTGCTGCTACAATCCAGAGTATTTTAATTTACTCTCAAATCCAACAGAATTCACATCATTATCCTTTGTCCAACCTGTCTTTGATTATTTCCATCCAGCCTACACCAAGGCATAAGGGAAAATGGACAAACTAACATTAAAACACACATTTTTAAAAAATCCAGATGCCATCAGCCAAGTCCTGCTCTCTGCTACTCAGAAGGTGGCTTATATGTCGGTATATAAGGTGGCATGATGTTTTGAGCAATTCCAAAGTTTTTCTTTACATTAGCCATAAAGTCTTGATAAATCATCCAATGAAAGCAGGTCCGAATCCCAGTGCCCAGAAACACGGAGGATTCGGCTGCGACGGAAACCGAAACCCGCAGGAGCTAAACTTCCCCAACTGCCACAGAAGGCCCTCCTCCTGAGAAGTAAATAAAAGGTTGATTTTGATCACAGTAATCTTCTCCAGTTGTGGGAGCAAGATGGACAGATTGGATAATTTCTGTTGAATGTCACGGCTGCCAGACACGGACTGCAGAGAACCCTCCCCGCAACTGAACCATCACGGAAGGGGCTGAGCCTTTATCCACTGCCGAGCAGGATGACAGCAAGGGACTAAGACATCCTGGGATTTCAGAAAAAAATATGCTTTTCACATGTGTCTTAGCTACTATCAAAAACTGAGGACTATTAGGACCTAGAAAAAAGAGCAAGCTAGTTTAAAATTTGCTTCTGCGTGCAGAGATAAGGTTGTGGGAGAACTTTTGTTAGGCAAGACCATAATTTTGGCTCATGACTACAACAGTTCCCTTCAGGTTGAAACTTTCCAAGGAATATTTTTATTTGCAACAGTTGGCAACTTCAGAGGAAGAGAAAAAAAAAAAAAACAAACCCTTGACTTTTTTTTTTTTGTTCTTCATTTTTGGGAGAGGTAAATGACAATTAATAGCGGTCTTGGTAGTGCTGGGTTAACGGTTGGACTCAATGACTTTTGAGGTCCTTTCCAAGCTAAAGGATACTATGATCCTACAGGGGAAGGAATATACTCATGAATCTGACCTCAATCAAGTTCATTCTACGTTTGTAGACACCAAGATTAGAGGTACCATGACGCATTTCCAATTCACAGCACCCACCAGCCACCAAGCAAATAAAGGAATGACTATAAAATCAACTTAAAAAGAACATGTAAAGGATGAATAATGAAAGAGAGAGTCATAAACATAAACATTTCCCTCTTTCTGCTAAGGTTGAGCTTCTTGCATTTCAAGGTGCAGCTGCTTGAAAGCTGAAGTAGAACAGCTTAAATTATTAATTTATTACTTAAAGACGAGAAGGAGTTTTGGGGAACAGCCCAAGTACTAAATTCTTGCTCGTGTCTTTCTGTATAAAACTCCCACAGTATGATTTCTAGATACATTTCACTCCTTAAATGTTCAACTCCATTCCTTTAGTCTTTCATTATTAAACACAAGCTTTAAGAATTCTCAGTTCAATAAATGCAAAATGTTTTCCTTGTCATTTTTTTTTCAGACCTTCCCAATTTAGCATTTTCATGGGGCCTCGTTAGCAACCCTCTGCCACTGCACTAGACACTTCATGTACATAGGTAACATTTAATGCCATTACTACGTTTTATATTTTATTTATTTATTTTTTTAAAGTCTATCACAGGAGGCTCTTTAGATAGGACCCTGACCAACCTGATCTAGTGGGAAGCATCCCATGGGAGGGGTGTTGGAACTAGATGACTATTAAGGTCACTTCCAATACAAAGCTTTCTATGATTCTATGAACTGGTTTACAAAATATCACAACAACTGTAACAGTTTATAGCATATTGTTGGCCAAAAAACTATGCTTTTCTTAGGCACACTATTATTCTGAAACACATGATAAAGATTTTACTAGCAGAGCAGCATTAATAATACACCAGCGCTTCACGGTCAGCAGACAAACAGGAAAGTAATAATTTCATTGTTGTTCTCTGTCAATAAAATCAGTGTATACATACATTTCCTAAGCTACACATTATTCTGCTCAAGCTATTCCACATTACCTTAAGGTCTGCAGGCAGGCAAACCCCTTTGAGAATATACAGACATAAAGCAAACAAACCAGAAAATAAAACAGCTCTCCTCCCCCTCCTTCAGCCCATGCAGTTACTACATCAGGATCAGACTTCACAGGCTGAAGCAGAGCCATTTATCTTTAATATATCGACCAGGACTGTGTCAATCTCCAAGCTTGTCCGTCACAATAAGGTTTCCTTTCTGCTCGTACATTTTACCTGTACAGACCCGGAGAAATTTGTTCTCTGTGGAGCTGGAGGAGGGAGGGCATGCTGTGGCAGGGAGTCTACAGGAGTTTGTCTACGAGAAAATCTGAGGCAGAACTGCTGTCCTGCTGCTCTGACCACCCACCACAGCAGCCAGACTCAAATGCAAACCTCCAGGCAGCTGGGAAGGGCAACCACGGATGTGCAGGCCCTAACTGGCACCTTCCACACCACTCCACCACCGTCCAGAATGAGCTTCCACCCTGGAGAAGAGCACGGCCTTCCTTTCTGAAGCAAACCCCGTGGTAAAGGACCATCACAGGGCACAGGCACAGGGTTGAGTTCCCCCGTGGGAGATAAAAAACTGACTGCAGAGGGCGAAAAAAAGATGGGAGCACAAGGCGTGGGGATGAGCGTAACAACAGGTTCAAGGTACCCTGTGCATGCAGAGGTACAACAGCATGGAACAGAAGTGGTCTCATCACCTAAAGATTTTTAAATCAGGGAAAACAGTAGAGAGACTCCAAAAAGATGTAGTTGGCTGGAGAAGCCTGGTAGAGATCCCTGCTACCAAACAGCTCCTGCTCCTTCTTGTAGGTCCTGCACCCTCTCTTGCTGTCTGAGCACTTCTTAATGAGTACAAACAGGAACAAGAGATGCAAGCATTTCCCAAAAACTAAATCACAAGTTTTTTTGGTCTTCAAACCCAGGTAAACGGAGCATAAACTGGGAACAGGCAGCGCTCAGAGAATGCCACACTCGCCAATTGTAGTATTTTAAACTTTTATGTCAAACGAAGCTGCCAGCACTGCTGTGAAGCTGCTGATTTACTGTGGTCAGTCTGCCAGCCAAGCACAGTGATAGGAAACTTCATTAAAAAGAAAGCTGCAATCCATGGGTTCATAAATCACTTTGTGTACACAGAGCAGAGATGTTTGCTTACATTTTTAATAGTACCCCGAGGTTGAGAGCCCCCCCCAGCCCCAGGAAGGTATATTCTCATCTGGGATTCAGGCCACAGCAATGGATCAAGCTGCTTTTAATGCTAATGAAGCCATTTAGTTTTAAAGCAGTGTTTATAAGGAAAGGGGATATTTCAAAGATGAAACTACATCTGCTGTAGAGTACAAACTATGTGTAAAAAGGCCAATGAGGCTTGTTTTCTCGGGTCTCTTTTATTCAAGAAGTCAGTCCATACATCTTAATGTGCTGTTTGTCACACGAGTTTTTATCTGCACTGCTATGGAGAGAGGGCAGAGCAGCACAGCCAAAGATGAAACACAGCTTCCAGTTGGAGAAGGAAGAAGAGAAGTGACTGTGCCTCAAAAAAACATGCTGGAGGACTGATGCAAATTACTTTTGATGAAATTTACTCTTCCTTTGTCCTTTGTAAAAGCCACTGGATGGCAAAAACATTAGTGTAATGAGTTTTTTCCAAACAACTGGACAAGTACAAGTAAGTTCTTCACTTTCCTCCCCCTTACAGATGCGAGTGTGGCACCTCACTAATGAACCAGGCCAGAAACGATTACACATTTCTCTCCTTCACCCCATTCACACATTCATGGCCATAATCAGCCCATCTCACCAGCTGCATAATGGAACTGTGCCCTGTCAATCACAGCGGGAACTGTATGAATTTTAAGGAGGAAGGTACCTCACTGTGCGTGCCACTGAGCTGAACAAAAAAAATAATGCGGCAAAAACTGGGACTGTCAAGGGCTCCAGTTGTAAATCTAAACAGTTCATTTACACAAGAAGCACCCACCATATTGGTGCTGAAAAGGGACAACTGAGGTTGAGCTGGTGGGAAATGGAATTAACTCCAGATATTCACACCTACGGGCTCTCCCTGTTCTTCAGGAACGTGCACAGCTCAACGCTTTGGTATACAAATTGCTCAGCTTGTTCATTTTCTATTTCTAGTTATGTTCACTTGCACATAAAATGTGCATTTTCAGTGTGTAACAACTGTTAATTTAAGTTCAGCTCAAATGAATCCCACGGGAACACAGTCTGATTTAACTTATTTACTAATATGTGCCTCCAAAACTAGATTAGTGGAGCTGAATATTTTAAAAGCAAGACATCTTACACAGATCACTGAATGCTCCATGTGACTATGCATGACACAGCTACTCAGTTCAGAAGCATTTCTTTGCTTTAAATATATATATAGCATTTATCAGCAGGTAAAGAGAGTCTCAGGATTTTAAGCTTGAGGCAGTAAGAATAGCTCAATCTGAACTTTGTACCTTTTATAACTGCCTGCAGTGATTAATTAGCTGTTTTGGATGAATTAAAAAAAAAAAAAGTTTCATTAGCTGCAAAAGCTGTGATATCTAGAAGTCATTCGTGTGACATATTTAAGCCATTTTTCACCTAAATGGCATTGTCTGCCAAGAAAAGGTAAAGAATGTGTTTATTGTAAATTATTAACCAACAGCCCTCGTAGTGGGTTAGGTGTACATCCTAACTACAAGACAGCACACTCAGAAAACAATATTCCCAAAGGGAGAGGCGAAGGATTTTCTGAGCCTGAAAGCTCCTTGGGGCAGCCACAGGAGTCTGAGCTCAATGGGCTGCATTTAGCAGACCGCGGTCGCTCGGCATCCGTGGGAAGCTGGAAAACACAGGGAGCTTGTTCCCGATGGTTACACCACTGCCTCGACAGCCGGCCAGAGAATTAAGTCACACAAGTCAGAGCCCAAGCCCTTCTGGCACTCGTGCCTGTCATGAAATACAAGGCCCAAGCATGTCTGTGTAATCCCAGAGCGGCTCCCCTCCCATCAGTGAACTCGCGGCATCGCTCTGCCGTCAGGGCCTCGCCATTAACGGCCCAAACAAAAGTAGGCTCTGTTCGGGCAGGAGAAGCAAGCGGTGCAATTAAGAGACACCGCACCAGATCCCAAAGTAATAGGTTTTTACAAAGCAATTTAGTGCCACGATGACAGATGCCAAAGCAGCGGCGAGACAGACGGCCCCGCCGCTTCCATGGAAATAACTGCCTACGTGTACGGCTAAAAGGCTCCGCTTGGGACATTCACGGCGTGACACGGACGGACGTGAAATGAACACGACGCGGCTTGATGTGAAATTGTGACAGCCACGACTTGTTACTTCTGGTTTCCTTTTTAAATCTGGACTGGAGGAATTTGCGGCAGAAATGCTCAAATGTTACCCTTGTCCCCTTCTACACAACACTCACCCAAATAAAGACTTTAATATGCTTAGGAAAATAGAACGGATGAAATTAGGCAGATTTTTGTCCTCAGCACACCAGAGCAGACCTCGCTTTACTGTAGCAGCAAAGAGGAGGTCAGCCAAGCACTGTCCTCATTGAGTGGCTCGTGAAACACATACGAGGTGACCCCCTTGACTAAAGCAACGCTCTCCAGCTTTAACTGACTATTATTCTTTGCAAGTGGACAAAGCAACAGACAAAAATGTCTTAATCTGTCTTTTGGTTTACGTTGGTTACATGTAGGAAAGTAAGAGCAATAAAGATTCTCTATTCCCTCTGTATTGAACAGCAAAAAAAGTTATCATCTGATAACTCAAGTCAAAAGGCTTCTCAGCACTCAAAAATAAACTTGCTTGCCCTAAATTGAGTCTGTTTATTCTTAAGACATTAAGACACACTTCCAGTGCTGTTTCGCAGAACATTTACACCAGAATACTCAGCACGGTGAAGGATATAACAGCAATTACGTAAATTTAAGCTATATTTAACCCCACTCGATTCTGAATTCAAAACAGAAGCTTGCAAATATTATCCACAAAAGCGTGCAACACAATTTCTAAAATTGCAAATGGGGTTTAAGTTAACTCCAGTTCTAGTTTTGGAATTGCATTAATTACAGGGGCATAGAAATCAGAAACAAGATAATTAATGCTCTCAGCTCCTCTAAGCATGGACCTCTTGTCTCACTTAGGTTGTTCTCAGTGTCCAACCCAGTTCAGTTAAAGCTGATTTAGTCACCTCTGATGGTGCATTGCACAAATAAACCATAAAAATGATGTTTAGGAGGTGAGAAAAACAAAAAAACCGCGCCCCCTCCAAAAAAAAAAAATGAATCCCATCCACAAAAAACCTCACTCAGCCTCACCACAAAACATAGTACCAGACTATTTTTACCCAGAAAAGACTAACACCCAGAACTTGATCTTTTCCACTTTCCTGTGAGTGCTGAACGATGCTACAGAGCGCTCTGATAATTTAACAAGCTATAGCAAAAGCTCTTTATTTCCTATTTTAAGGATTTTTTCCCTGTGCAAATTCCGTTTTGATGACTTTACCAGCATTACTTATTTGGTCAAGATCATTGTAGGGACGCTGAAACCAAAGGAAGGCACCCCAAGAGACCCAGAAAAACAATCCAACACGTTGTGTTTGCCGTGGCCACGTTGAACACAAGCAGGTTCCTAAGCCACTGCTAATAAAAAAGTTCATGAATTAATCTTTACTTGAGAGGACTGGTGATCACAGTAGGAGGTTTTCAGAAGACCAATCTAAACGACACCTCAGTCAGCAGCAGGTGGAGAGAAGGGAAACTGCCAGCACAGGTTTTATCTGCCCAGTGAAGGGATACAAATTTTTTAATCAGATCACTTCAGGTAAAAAGGGTTTTTAAAAAAAAAAAAAATCAGACTGAAAGAATTGTTTCTTTAATGGGAAGTTTTATTGGCTTCTTCAGGAGGCAATAAAGTATGACAAAGTTTCAAGGAAAAATGTATTATATATTCATAGCTTCCCTGGTGCATCTATTCCTTGAGGGTAGCACATTACAAAAAGTTACCACATTCTTTTCTTTTTTTCCTTCTGCTATTTCTATATGTTTTCTTGAGGATAAACAAACTTCTTTCACCTCAAAAACCGGAGCACATATTTTTTCATTTGACACTTCTCTAATCTACATATCTCTCACAGCAGAAAACAGATGCTTTGCTAAGGATTTTGCATGTCTTCTTTAGGAAAAAAAAAAGAAAAAGGTGATAAAATTACAGGTTCTCCATGTATCTTTCTAAAGAAACCAGTGGCAGCTAAATCAGCCTGATTAACTTTCAAGTTTGAACACTTAAAACCAAGCTAAAGTTCAGTATTTGCCTTGACACAAGCCACACTGCTCTTGCAATACAGATAAGCAGAGCCTTGTGCAGCCTCTTGGCACCATTTATCACCTCTCAAAGCCAAGTGGATGCAGAAGGAGGAGAAAGTGAGAAATGACAAGACTGAAACTATTAATTTTTTATTTTTTTTTTTTTTTAATATACATTCCTGGTTTAAAAAGACAGAGGTGAGGAGATGTGAACTGTGCTAGAGGGTTGCAATCTATACAGGGGATACTGGGCTTTCCTCACAGCAATAAACACAGTGTTTAAAGCTCCCAGCTGGAGAACTTCTTTCCAGCCTGGGAGTGGTCCCACATCAGTGAGACCACTGTTTAAAGGTAACAAGGACCTAAACAGCAGCAAAGGAAAGGAGAGCACACCTTCCCCAGCACAAAGGAACACACATTTATCATTTTATCTTCCAAAGGCCACCACTGAGAAATCTCACTCTTACTACCTTTTTTACTTTCCCAAGAAAAAACATACAAGGTCTCTCTGATTTACTTGATCTTAAATATTTCTCTTCTGGAATTTTCAGCAAATCTTTGTGCACAGTCAGAGATGCTTTCCCTTGCTACAGCTATGAGCCCATCACACAACAACAAAAAGAGGAAAAAATTCAATTTACTATCGCCACCTCTCTCCCAAAGCCAGCCAAACACAGCCAATGGAAAGAGGGACATATGATGCAGCAACTAAAAGTAGGCTCAACTCATTTTCAAAAGCTGACTGGATTTCAAGTTGGCAGTGCCACTTTAATTGCTTCATATAAGTGCGATAAGCGAAATAACTGGACAGCTCTTTGAACCGTAGCATGAGACTTCATGCCTAGAAGAGGAATCGCACTTTCTATCATCAATTGTATTTTAATTTCAGGTGGCTGAAACCACGGTAAAGCGCCCTCCTGATATCAACATATCCCAGACACCAACTTGTGGGAATGCAGAGCATGCTGAGCATCCGTGATAAATTCCTTTGGCCGTTTCCTCCCCAGAGATGCTCTCCAGTTTGAAAGATAGTTTAGTTTCATCAGCTGGCAATGAGACAAATATTAGCACTCGGAATCCACTGCTCTGCAATCCATCCTAAAAGCAAAGCCAGCAGATAATGGGGGCAGGGCATGGTGCTAAAGTGGGGAGGGAAATAAAGACATGTATCTGCACAGACTGTGCTATAGATACAAAATATAGGAAAAAATAACAGATTTAGAGAAGAACTTCAGTGCTTCAACCCTGCTACCTGCACACTTTGTTAATAAACAGCTATTGCTTCTCCAAACGCTTCAAACAAAATGAGTAGAAAGACTAACTTGTATATATACAATATGAGGTTAGCCAGCTAATAGAGATAATTAATAATTTTATTAATAATGACAATAAATTATATATATTATATTAAATATAGATCAGCCTCGTCAGTTCAGCCA